CTCGAGACTACCGATTATGTGAGTCATAGTAACACGAGTGAGTTCGATGACGTGAGTTCGAGTACAACACGAAAAACTCGAGACTAAGGGCCCAGAAATGTCCACAAACCTCGTAGCTCTATATTTTGCAAATTTTGAAAAAAATAAATAAATAATCTATGATCTTATATATAAAATCATAAAATATTTATTTTTTATGTTATCTTGTAATTATACTATATATCATTCCATATTTATTTTTACAATTTATATTAAATAATAGACTAAAAATTGTGCAATTACATAGGCTCATGCTGCTGTGGCATCAACCGGTTTTCTGTCGATATTGTTCATTTATTGTTCCTTCTGCTCAATGTTGCTCTGATAATAGTTTCCTGATACTTCGCCCTATTCCTCTCTATGTTATTTGCGGACGTTCCTCCATACTACGTGCCCACCAGTGGTCAAGCGGTCTTCGTACCCTGAACACATAGGGTTTTCCGAGTTTTCTCCACGTCTGTAACTCCTAAATAGGGGCCAGTTTCCCTTAAAAAGAACTCCCAGTAAGCATCCCCCTAGGCAGATCGCACAAGTGTTGCGTTGCCATAACTTAACAAACAACTACAATCCGCCATACTAGTGAATTCTTCTCTTAAGACTAATTGTACTTCTAATTATTAAATATTTAAATTACGAATTGTTCCCCTTTTCATTATAAATATTTTCAAAAGAATAATTATTTATACGTACTCAAATGTCTTCGAAAACGCAATTCTTTTATCAGCTGACGATAAGATTAGTGATTTTTATGTCTACCAGTAGGTGTTGTTCTAGTTTCAGAAGTGTTAACAATGGAAGTGGGGTGGAATCTCTCCCTAGCGGGGGTGGAATTTCGAAAAACCCCTTCTTAGTGTACGTTCTCATGACGTACAGTACCATGTATACCAAATTTCGATCTTCAACTCATGACGTACTCTGTGTACCAAATTTCAACTTTCAGCTCCTAACCGTTTGGGCTTTGTGCTTATTATTATTATATTAAAATATTCACGAATTACATCGAAATAAAGAATACTTCGTCTCGTAACCCACGGAAAAGAAGGTACCTATTCCCCACTTTACTGTATTAGTTGCACTTTACATGCAAATAGTTTCTCTTCTCCTCCCTTTTCCTCTTCTCAACAAGTTTCCAGATGAGCTTTGTGTACTAGTGTGAGATAAGCCGATTGAGGGTGAGGAGTGTTCCGACATCCGCGCGGTCTACTCTGTCGTGTGGGAGTGTTAATGATTACTTGGGGCTATTTGTTGCTTTTTAATCCATTCAAACGCAAGCTCTCTATCTACATTACTCTGATCTAACATCTTTTTAGGAAATTGACCATGTAATTGTTTATTACTCCAAACAACATTATGCTCGTTTTCTTTAAATAATCTATTCTGTTCCTTTTTTGTATTCATTTCTTCGTATCTTCTAATTCTTCCTGCTAGAGTTCTGATTTTTTGTTTGATGATTTATATTATATTATTTTGATCATTTTCAGTATGGATATTGTATTTTATATGAAGACTGTTCCTAATTTTCCTCATTCTACGTGTGTCAATTCCTCTTTTTATCTCTATTAGTTGTCCTAGTTCTTTCCTAAAATTATCTATCTTATTTTGTATTCTTTATTTTTAAGCTGGGCTACTTTTTTGTTTTATAATCACTGTAGACATGTATGGCATTTGGTTATTACTTTCTATTAGTTTTAGCAGCTGCATATATTATATAATTTATTTCACGCAGGCTATTATTAGTAATTAATAAATTAGGTAAATATTTANGGGTCTAACTCGAGACTACCGATTATGTGAGTCATAGTAACACGAGTGAGTTCGATGACGTCAGTTCGAGTACAACACGAAAAACTCGAGACTAAGGGCCCAGATTGTAGGTAAATCCAGATCGAAGTGAGTCGTGGATTGTGTGCGAACGTAGTATTACACTTTAACTCTGAGCTTTTGAGTACAGTAAAATGGTTTGCTAAAACCAGATGTTTGAATTGCTTTACAGTTGGAGGTCAAACCAGTCTGTTTACTATGAGGAAAAATCTATTCTCAAAATAGAACATTTATTACAGTACTAATTTTTATTGTGTACATTAAAAACTGTAAAAAGCAACTATAATTGAAAGTAGGATTGTTTCTTGAGGGTTGTGGAGTTATTTAGTTTGGCTTAATGAATTCTGGTAAAAGAAGAAATTGTTTTATTGCATGAAAATGTGACAATGGCAAAATTTGCTTTCTGTGTTTACATGTGTGAAAAGTGAAATTATTTTAATGCCAAAAATAAAAATGATAATTGCTTAACTAATCAACAAATTAGTTGTATGATAGTGCTTTGTGTTGACATATCTAATCTTGTTTTCAATGGCAATCCATCTCTTGTATATATGTAAGGGGATTCTAAAATATTTTCAGTGTGAATGCGCAAGCTTCCACATAATGAATTGTTTCTTGAGAAATAGAAGTTACATAGAAAGTTTATTAATTAGGAAATACAACTGTGGTAAAAAGACAACCAGTATACTAAGTTTTATTCTCCACAAAATATTATACTTGCATACATAACAATAAAATTATTAATACATTTTTATGTGAAATAATCAAGAAGGTATTACTTTGTACCAAAGTTGTTTGAACAAAATTGGTGAAAGTAAAATAACATTTCAGATCTTGTTATATGTATTATACTGTACCATAATGGCCATCGAGACAATGTCAGTTGCAGAAATAACAGTAATATAAATAATAATTATGTAAGATTTTTAAAAATTCATTAAACTTCAGTATTTATAAAAAGTTTCAATGTAATAAGTTGCTGGAAATGCAACTGTTCACAGTCAAGTCGAGACTGCACATACTTTAGATTGATTTCATAAACTATAATGGTAGTGTAAAATTCACAAAAGTAATTGAAGAACATTACCTCCATCTGTGAATTTTTTTAAAATAGTAGTAGTTGTCCTGATAGTTTTATTAATATATATATTTAGGATAATCATGGTGACATATTCAGTTTTGTTAGAAACAGCTAGCTTTGTAGCTTTGTGTGTTTTTCAGTTTTAAATTTTTATTTAAACTGAAAATTGTTTTGTTGTGGTGCTAATAAATTATTTTTATTACTTTGCAAATGTCACGCTTGGCAGATATTGGTGCCAAGTGCTATTCCAGACTAATAGCTACCCAAACAAATGTTACATTAAGCTTTGGCGTGAGTGCTAGACTCAGTTCAGTAGGTAGGCCGACCTACACCTTTGTGCCTGAAGTTGGCCTCACTCCGATAAGTTGTTGCTGGTTGTGGACACGGGAGGTTTCCCAACTTCAAGTCCAACTTTGGACAAGGACATGGTAGTTGCATCTATGGGTGTCCTCGTGGTGATGCGAGACACTGTGTACTTGACTGTCCTCTTACAGAGGAATTTCGCCTAGGGGCAGACCAAGTTGATTGGAGCAATCCCCCTGAACAGGTACTTCGAGCACTAGCACTAGCACTAGTACTTCGAACACTAGCACTAGTAAAGGAAATTTAAAGAAACTAAAGGAATTGATGGAAAAAGTAATAGATCTTTTAGACCTATAAGCTCGGTGGACGCACTGGGCAGGGTACTCCTGTAGGAAAGGGGACCCTGCTGTTCCTTATTTTTAATTATCAAAGTTGAGCATTGTGAGCTAATGTTTTGTAGATTAATGTGCAGTACAGGCTGCACAATATATAAAAGTTATTCCAGGTTAGAGAGCTTGGCCAGAGAGTGGATGGGAGCCTAATAGAAGTACTCGATGGCCCAGCTATGTGTCCCTGTCTACCTGTCAGGTATCCAACCAGCTGATGATTAAGGCATAGTTTGCTTTATGAGGGCAGTGTGACGTGCTCAATATTGCAGCTTTCTGTAGTGTTGTGTATGTGTTTTTAAAGTTTAACATTTCTAGACTTTTGTGTAGTGTATGCATTATGAAACCAGTCGAAGAGAGGACAATGGGCACAATAAATACCCTATCCATCCTCCACGGTTATCTTATTTCTTGGACAACTGAAGTGTATTTGTTGATTATTTTATTATTTCCAGTGAGCATTTTTCATGTTATGAGTGTTTGGAATGGAGATGTCTTATTATATGCTGTAAGCAAACTTATTGCATTTGTCAATAAAAATGATGGGTCTATTGTGATGATTGTTTTATCTATGAATATGACTGTCATAATACAGCATGTCCGAGAAAGCTCTTTATCATTCTAAGCATTAATAACAAAAATACTAACGGGTGAAATGAAATGCAGTTTGCTGCAAAAGAATGAAGAAATCTGAGTTTTTTCTGGTATCAATTGCCTGAGGTAGATGGTTCTAGTTGCTTGCCAGCTGTGATAAGGGCCCATACTTTGGCCTCTGCAATTGCCTGACATAACTCCAGTGGATTTTTTTTTAATATAACCCAAAAAAAAAAGACAGGTTTATCAAACACCTGTTTTTGATATATCTGTTTTAAAGGAAAGGATATAATTAGCAATCCCCTCTATTACATCGCAAATGGTAAAAAACACTTTGAGGGAAATTGGGTACAGACTCTACATTGTTGGTGCTACTAATGGTGCTCGCATACAGCTACATTGAAGGTACTGTAAAAAAAAACTTAGATTTCTTCATTCTTTTGCAGCAAACTGCATTTCATTTCACCTGTTAGTATTTTTGTTAGTAATGTTTAGAATGATAAAGCTCTTTCTTGGACATGCTGTATATTTTGTTATTTTCTAATACTGACTGTGGAGTAAGATACATGGATGTTTTATAATCTGTTTATGTGCAAACTCTTAGTGTATTGTATCTGCTATTTGATTATGTCTAAGTAAATACAATGGGTGATCGGTAAATGAACATAATCAGTTCCAAGACATTGTTTGTTAACTGATTTATCAATTTACCATAGGTTTTTATGGAAATTTGATTTAATTTGTTCTGGAGACCCTAAAAAATAAAAAATATATACNTGATTTCTTTCGTTTCAGCCAATATCAGAAGAAACTGCAAAAATATAGGTTCTTGATCCTCATCTATTACTATATTTTGTGTCAGCTGGTCTATATCTTCTACACAATCTGTTATGGGTTGTATACCATACTGGTTATCGTGCACTGTATATGTTCTATCATTCTCACGTTCTGAAATCACATTTTCAATCAGTCTGTAGGTGCTATTTCCTCTGCCTGTTTTTGTATACGGTTGAGTAGTTCCTGTGATATTACTTTCTGTTTAATTATTCTACGAGCTTGAGTTGACAAAGTATTTTCGTTAAATTTATGGATTTTAGGGTTATTAGGGTTCCTGTTAATAAAAAGTGTCTCCAATCTGCTTAGATCCGGGTCCTTCCGATCTTGCTTTAAAATAACAGAACATAAGATCTTCTAATTCTTCTGTTGACCACTTGCGTCTTCTATCATTACTTAAAATATATTACTCGTGGTCATTGCTGATGAGCCAGAAGTGTCTGTGGGCAAAGCCCTACTTTGCAGGGCATCATCCGCTTCCTCTCCTCCCCGTTGGTCGACTGTAATCTCTTCGAGTCCCCGACTCTCGAGTCCTCCCGACTGCTCAGCAGAGAGCCACTGACGGCTTGCATGCTGTCACGTCCAGCGTCAGCTCCAAACGTGCCCCGGCGATCACCCCCAGGCAGCGACTCTATACCTTCAACATTATTACAATTCTCCATATTGTTGGGTTACCTTTACCCTGTTAGCCGCATAAATATTAATGTTATGCGTTGCCCGCCCCCCACATGGTCTGATGGTTGACACGGATGTAGGGTAGGATTTTGGGGCATATATATAAATAATTAAATTTTTACTATTTTTTTAAAAAGTTCTATTTAAAATATATTAGTTTTATTGAATGACATCGTAAGTATATTATTTTAAATTTGCTTTTAGTTCACTTTGGAATATTTATTGAGTAAAGTTGCGACGCTTGGAGGGGAAGTTTTTCTCCTCATCGATTCATTTTGTTTTATTTCGTTTTATGGGATACGGCAACGTAACACGTGGAGTATGCCTATCGGAAATACTTTCTATGGGAAACTGCTATTTAGGTGTTACGTACAGTACATGAAGACCAGAAAATCAGAAAACCAGAAAACTCCAAATGACCAGCCTAGGGACCGGCAGCAAAATACCAAGTGGATAAAAACCAGCCGTTTAATGGTTTATATCCACTTGGCCAGTGGTGAGCTTCGCCCGATTGAAGTCTTGCTACTGCGGCTACATACTGGTACGGCTCTTCTAAGATGATGGCCGTATGGCCGAGAGGTCAAAATGGCAGCCTACCGCTCTGGGGGACCTGGGATCAAATCCGGACTCTATCCGGTTTTTCGACTCTGTTCGGGAGTGGTCTGTCCCTCACCACCCGGCCGCCCCATTATGGGTCTGGCCGAACCCATAATGGGCTTGCTAAAAGAGGTTCTCTTTGTGTCCACAGAGCGAAAAGAGTTTTAAAAAACCTTTCGACACTACCGAAATTTTCTATAAAAAATTGGTCACTATTTAGGTGTTTCAAACGCAAAGAAAACCCGAAAAAATTCACGTGGTCAACCAAATTCGAACATTAATAATTTATAATGACAATAGGATTCAGCATATTTTTCTGTAGTTTTAAAAATTCGTTTACGTAAAAGCTTAGAAAATAAGAATCAAATTTTAATCCGATTCTTATTCTCTAAGCTTTCTCCGATTCAATTCTTTATAGTTTATCACAAATATTTTCTGCCAGAAGTTGTTTCTTTTCACTATTCACGTTTCCCGACTCAATTACAGGAGTGGCCACCCGAAATAAGCGAAAATTGATCTCGATAACGTACGAGTGTCGCGCATCAAACAATAACACTCGAAAATTAAACAAATTTTATCGAATTTAATCATGAAATAAATGAAATAAAAAAAACAATCAAATTTATTTATACATTAAGAATATATATAATATATAAATTTAAAAAATTATATTTCTGCTTTATTATTTACTGATTACCGGCAGATGGCGCTTTGCAGTGTCCTCCAACTCTAATAAGAGGAATTAAAAGTACACTCTGATCATGCAAGCAATTAAATGGTCAAGATGTTTAAAAGTAAGGGTATATTTGCAGTATTTATTTGAATTTCAATATATTACACGTTATTGTAAGCAGTAACCTTCCACTTTCCTGCAATATAAACAAAAATGCTGAAAATTTAAAATACTATATTTGTAAATATTTCTGATGATTTTAAATTATTGATTCAAACTTAAGATATTATACATTCAGAAGTTATATTTTGTTAATACATTTAACATAAATTAATTGCACTATAAGACATTGTTGCCAATTTAAAATTTAATGGGATTATATATTGTACAGGATGAAGGAAAGTTTATTAATACTTATTAAAGAAACTTATTACACTGATTAAAATTGTGTTGAATATTTCAGCTTGTAAAGTAGTAAAGATGTTAGGAACAAAACTTTTATATTCAATCCTCATGAATAAATTCATATATACTATTGAGTATCTGAAAAGTTTAGAATTACAGAATAAAGTTATTTTTATGTAATGTGATATGAATTACACACTTTTAAATAGTGAAGTAGCATAACTTACTTCAATATCCAAGCACTTTTGCATAGAAAGTACTGGTATTTTGTTTGTATTCTTCAAAATTTAATGTCATAGGAATATAACTAAAAGAAAGGAAATTAAATTTCTCCTATATTTCCTGACTTTTCAGACACACTGTACTTTAAAAGCACAAAACACAAAAAATAAACATATCTAAAATCCTGATTTTTTTAAACCTAAAATTAAACTACTTTAATTCAGTTTGTTTTCGATTGAATTAAATAATTTGGAAAAGATTGACCCAGAACAAATTTTGAACCCAGTGTTGTGCAGATTGCAAAACTTGCAACACATCTGTATGGTAAGAAAACATGCACATAGTAAAATTTTTAACACATCTTTTTGCTTCTAGATATATATTAATTTTAATCACATTACAGTATAGGCTAATTGATGATTTGCTGATTACAGACTGCTACATCTATGGCCTTTATGGTTCTCAATCAGACCAGTAGCAATTAATTTTTGTAATTATATGATTCAAGTTATATAGCAAAAGAATAGATGGATATTTGAGTTACATAGTTAGTAACACATCTACACAGGAAGCAGAGGCTTTTAAATTTGAGTTCCAATTAAGTTTTGTAATCATTTACATCATCTTAATCACCTCTAATCCAACCTTTGTAGTTTAATTAAAATTAGCTTTGTAGTAATCTGAAAATAATCCAGTCTTCAGATATGTTTGGATATTTAAATTTGGCTTTGGTTTATTGTATAGTCAAATAAAAACAATTACATTTTATTCAAATAAAAATTTTCAGCATCTTATTTCAATAATAAATTCAAACTAAATACTTATATTTCAAAATATATTTTTAAAATACAATGCAACCAAATAATTTTTTCTTTTTATAGATATACTTAATGTGTTAACTTTTTTACAGGAAAAAGTTTATTTATATGATAAATACATACAATGAAATTTTCTTTTTAAAAATTTCAATGCTTGTTTAACATTAAAAATTTACTTACAGTACCAATATTCTCTACAAATAATGATGATAGAGTAATTTTAAAAGTTGATTCATTATCATAATATTCATATTGAAATTGCATTTGACATTTTCTATAACTATTCATTCTCTGATTTCATAAATATATTTGATGGATTTACCATTAATAAAACAGCTCTATCATATGGTCTGTTTCAAAAAGTTACTTATGCTAAGGGGAAATATTTGGCTTATTCTCAATATTATATTAGTTGGAAACATTAATGCCAAGACTAGATTGTTAAATATATTATGTCAGCAATTATAATTTTCAAGTTTTTAAAAAATATATTTAAAGATTAGCTTGGAATTTTTGCATGGATTCACTTGTAAGCTTAGATGTGATACCTTTAGATTGATAGAATAATTTAATTGCTCTTAAATGGAAATTATCGTCTTAATGAAAGAAAATTGTTTTCAATTTGTGTTAATAGATTATCAAATTATTTACACTTAAAAATGATCTTAAACTAACTAATGAATTAGTTGTTTTGTGTTATGAGAGTTCTTTGATATATGCAGTATAAGCAGCTTTTGATAGGAAATTGTTTTTAATTAATTCAGAAGTAATGTTTTTAACACTGATATCTGATGATGGAAAGAGCTTCATTAGTTCTATTTTATTTGGTAGAGGAAAACTTGGATCTTTGTGTGTTTTCAATTCTTTTTATATTTCCATCTATACAGGTAGCTAGATGTTGGACACATTGATGTAATACATAGGCTTGATATCAAGCATATAGTTTGGATTTATATTTGTGATATCCATTTGGAATATTAAATATCAACTGTTGCTTTGCTTTGTGTTCTCTTCTGTATAAAAATTTCTCTCTTCTATAAAAAATGTAACTATCTCTGTCCTTATTTGTAAAGTGCATCTTCCTTCCACCAAAGTGATAAAAATGATCATCTCTTCTATAAGTTAATGTATTTACATTTTGTAGTTGGCTATATAAACTTTTACTTCAATACTTTTAAAAATTTTAAATGTTCCACATAAAAATTTAACTTTTTCAAGAATAGAATGCTTTAACTCTTAGTATTACTATCTATTGTTAAGTTTGCTAAGTTCTAGTAAAGACATGTATACAGTCGACCCCCCTATAATTACGGTCCCTATAATTACGATTCCTATAAAACTACGAAAAAATATACGTATTTTGGAAATGTTGAGTCGGATTAGTGTAGAATCGATTAATTTTATGGAAGAAAACCTTTCAATCAGCCATAGTCCGTAAACTTGACACGTGTCGGGCTGTGATTGGAACAACTTGTAAGAAATCGGATTCCTAATAAATTGGAACGTATCTATATCTTATAGGGGGGTCGACTGTACATTCAAGTATGAAGTGATGTAATAGAAGCAGAAAAGAATAATATATAAAAAGGACAGCAACTTTGGATGTTGTTATTAACTATTAAAAATACCTTTGCAAAAATATAGATAAGAGTATAATGAAACAGAAAGACTATAAGTAATCACAGGGCAAGATGGTTACTAAGAATGAGGATAGGGTAATAAAATGGTTATTAAAATACCTTTTAAGACATCAAACTACTTTTATTATTACTCAAGTACTTTAGGTTAGACCATTTTAACTTTTGTCAGGATTGAATATTAGAAGAAAGAACAGAACATTAATTTTAAAAGTGGCTGTCATTTATAGTGCATAGTATTACAGGATAGGTTTCCACAATACACTATTAAAAATTAATACTAATAGTATATTGTGATGTATACTGATTAAATATTGTAATGTGACTTGAATCTGTGTAGAAGAAAATGATTAAGACAATGAAGTACTATAAAGATGAAAGGAATACTTCTGAGTATTTGCAATATTGAAGTACAGATTAATGCCTGAATATGATTTTGGGAGTAAGTAGTCATAATCTCAATCTGAATTAGTTGTTTTATAGAATTCTCATAAGTATCCATTCATACTCTAATGAGGTTTTAGATTGTTCTGTTAGGATGTTAGGTTAAAGGCTATTTTCAGAGCCTGGGAAACCATTTCCATCAAGTTAATATGTACAGTACTCTACATTGTCCATGTTTGCATTCATTATCT